ACTCCCAAGGCCTAGAAATTTCCTTATTTTAAATTAAAAAAATAAAATAATAACTGCAAATAACCACCGCAACAACAGCCACCATCACAAGCCAAGGCATTCACATGACTCCAGGGATCAAGGCTTTAGGAAAGGCAATAAATGCGCTGAGATTCTGCATCAAATCACGTAAGCTGGGAGGACTGTGGGTGCCTCTTGTCTACCAGGAGGAGGCCCTGGTGAACATGGACATTTACACTTCCTATCTTTTTGGTAGGAATGATGGTGTCTTCTCAGAAGTGAGCTCTGGCTTCATATATTAGAGGACTTCGGGCACTGCCCTCACTGCTTGCACTTGGTGCACCCCGAGCAGCAATGGTTTTTGCTCTCCCTTCGCCCAGTCGCCTTCGTTTGCTATGGCTCCAGTGGAATCATCTCAGGAAAAATATCCTTCTGAGAGGAACATTCAACTCTCCAGCACCAGGGCTGCAAGTAACGCCCCTCACACCCCTCATGCCACTAGACATGTGAAGGGACTGAGTCCCCACTGTATTACAGCATCTCAAGACATCCTTAGCATGTGCTACCTAGGGAAGAGCTCAAGCACCGCTCGAGCAGCTGAGCTACACAGAACAGTTTAGATAAGCAAAATAAGATGATCTGAACAAGTGCAAAGGCAGAACAGATATCCATCGTGGAGGAAACAGTGCAATTAAAGCTGTTGTTCTACGTTATTACACCAGCTAGGGGCTGCCTATTGTCCGCAATGCCAAATAAGTGCTTTCAAGGCCAATTTAATGGAGGACAATGCGAGAAGCAAAGAAACAGCATGTTCAAGTGTACCAACCTTCGTGGCCAACGTGCCCACAGATGCTCTGGCATGTGCCAGGAAAGGTACCTATTATTGCTATTCTAAAGCTGCCCAGCTACGCTGAGGAGGTCTAGAGCAGCCAGTTGAGTATGCACTTCAACTGAAATCTTGCATGGAAGAAAGGCAAACAAATTGCTAGATGAAAGGAGGTTACCTGAGGTTACTGCAATAGGGCACACGCTTTGGCCTCTTGAGAATCCAGGCTATTTTTAGCACACTTTCTGGCCAGCTCTTTTCAGAATGAAATCCTTGCAAAACCTGCTGCCTCAGCACTCTGTCCTGCAATGTAAAGGTCAAGTTTTCTCATAATGAGCATTCTGAAAAGATACCCTCTTGACCATCAAGTTACTACATCTTTCCATACTACTTATCAGGACAGCAGTTTCCTGCCATAAAACCAGAATAACCACAATCTTATTTTAACAGAGCATACAAGAGGGCAGCAGGAGGAGGTCTTCACCGACCACCTGCTCAGACGCTCTTTCTTCTTGCAAGAAGTGTTGAGGTCACTCACAGCCCTTTTTGCTTCCCAGACAGACTAAGAAGGTTAGAAAGGCCATAGGTGATTATAAAAGGCTGCAGTTGAGGGGGAATTGTCTCATGACCCAGATGGGGAAGAGGTCATTTTTGAGCAGACAGCCTTTCCACCATCTCCAGGGAGAGCTAAGGGGATAGCACAAACTAACTTATGGTGTTCTCTGCTTGTGACTCACAAGTAGCTGGAAGCAAAAGGAGGAAGCTGCATGCACAGAAAGCAAAATGCAAGCACCACTTTGGGATATATTCCTCACGGTAAGCGTTTCCATGAGGAAGTCGGTGGAAGATGACGCGCACTCCGGTGTGTGGCAGCTATTCCTCACCAGCCTCCCTTCTCAATGCTTTCACCTCTCAAACACACAAGTGCTGCAAGTAAAACACAGCATAAACGTGCAGCCCATCCCCTTCGCAGCTTCCTGGAGAAGCAGCCTTTGGGAACACTTTCATCTCAAGCTCCTCCACGATTTGTCATGGACAGTCTGCAGCACATACAATGGTAACGGGGTCACGAGATGTGGCCGTGGACACGGATGCACCTGCATGGAGGAAGGCCCCCGTGCTGAGCACGGCTGGTGGGGAGCCATGTCCACACTGGGAGCTCTTTGTCAGGAGCTGCAGCCACCTCCTGTGCCAGGAAAAACCTCCTGCTGCAGCGGGAGCTCAGGTTGGACAGTTGCTTCTTTGTTCAAGCCCTTGCCTCAAGCGCAGAGGTGAGATGGCTCAATAAAATGTTCGCTATGTACTCTATGTGTGTGGGAAGCAATTGGAGCCCATCAAACTGGAGACATTGTGACAGGTCATCCAGGTAAAATAGTTCTGCTTCCCCTTCTTGTTTGCCAGAAAAAAGCTCACGCTCTTGCCAGCTCTCTCCAAACTCCCCAGGAGTTTTGCTGAAAGGCTCAATTGTGGCCCAACCTGCAGCCGGGCAGGTGCAAGGCCTTCCCCAGGCACCACAGTGGCAGAGGAGGAAAGGAAGGGGCTGAGATGGGAGCTGAGGAGCCCTATATAATACATGATGTTCCAAGCAACGCTAACTTGAGTTACAACCATTTTAAATCACCTAAAGAAATTATGAAACATTAGTGGTTCTTGAAGCCATCCCAAGTTCCTGAACCTTGAGTTAACTACTGCCAAGCTGCATTAAATCATGTTTGTGAAGGAGAATCATCAAAATGCAGCTAACAAGCAGAAGAGACGCAAAGATGATGAAGTAACTTTTCTTTTGGTCTTTTATTTTTAAGAAAAGGGAAGGAAAGAAAGGAGGAAGGAACACGGAAATTATGCTTGTCACATACCATATATGCCTATGATCTTCTCCAAAGTGAAAAAGATGACAAGATTCTGTGTTCTAATTAGAGGTACTGAGTGGCTGGTGCTCACTGATGAAGTTTCAGTTACAGTTTTGGTGAAATTAATTTACCTTATGCATCTGTAGGTGCTGCACACGAGCTGAGGGGTGGGGAGTGAACGGCCAAAGAGATGCAATTTCCAGTTGATTATATCCAACTAAAATCCAA